TTTAGAGACTAAATATCTGCTGTTAAGAAACACCTTTGAACACGGTACTCTCTCGATATGATGGAGAAGTTTTCTAGCTCAGATGGAAGATTTTTGTATAGTCGATCACTTCACTTATATTTAGGAAGTTGCACCAGCCAACGCCAGAGGGTTGTGATCGCCGATACAGAAGGCTTGTTTGGCATATGCCCGCCAACTTACGCCATCTCCAGCTGGCTGTCCAACCTAATCCTATATCAGTCAGCTAATATTGCCTGTCGTACCCCAAATATTCATCAACCTTATTCAACAACTGTACGACAACGGCACATGTCAAGTGATCCACAACAGAAAACTCAGCGAGGCGTTTGCAGTAAACACAGGAGTCAGACAAGGGTGCTTACTATCACCAATGATATTCCTAATTGTGGTGGACTGGATTATGCGGCAGACAGTAGGAAACGAGGAGACAGGGATATCCTGGACCGACATGAAGAACCTAGAAGACCTGGATTTTGCGGATGATTTATGTTTGATGTCACATAAAATCGAAGACTTACAAGCAAAAACCGACAAACTGATCGAAGAAGCAGCAACGACAGGACTCCAGGTGAACATAGACAAGACGGAGGTTATGAAAATAACCAACCAACCAACCAACAACAACAACAGAAGCAGCAACATCCAGTGCCAATCACCATCAACGGGAGGGATTTGAAAGAGGTTACTTCTTTCACTTATCTAGGGAGCATTGTCTCAACTACAGGCAGTCGGAACGGACGAGGATGTCAAATCGAGAATCGTAAAGGCGAGAAACACATTCATCAACCTCAAACCAATCTGGAAATCTTCGTCACTCAGCATCAACAACAAAGTGATTCGGATCTTCAACACAAACGTCAAGTCAATTTTGCTTTACGGATCAGGAACTTGGCGGGTCACCAAGAATATTTTCAAGAGCCTGTTGCAGACCTTTATCAACAACTGTCTTCGCTCCATACTGAAGATTAGATGGCCGGAAAGAATCACCAACAAGAAGCTATGGGAACAAACGAAACAGGAACCAATCGCCCAGCAAATATGCAGGAGAAAGTGAAGATGGATCGGACACTCGCTGAGGAGACCGTTGGGTGATATCGCGCGTCAGGCCAGTGCTCGAGTGGAACCCGAAAGGGAAGCGGCGAGTGGGACGTCCAAGGGTGACATGGAGGAGATCGTGTGAGGAGGAAATGAAACAGTATGGAATAACATGGATGCAAGTGAAAAGTACAGCACAAGACAGAAGCAAGTGGAGGCGTGCAGTTGAAGCCCTATGTTCCACTAGAAACCCAAGGGAACAATAATAATAATATTGCCTGTCGTCGAGGAAGGCAGCGCCTAGGCATACGTAACACATGTCCTAACCATCTCCATCAGTGTAACTTCACCACCTCGTCGGTTGATTTCACCTCCTTACGTAGCACTTACTCGACGCGCCTAACCTCAATATCGTTCACCTTATTATAATATGGCGTAACACGGGAGATAGAAGGCAGACATGCATTATCAAATACAGGTAGCCAAGCTTTACACGTCTTCCACTTTCAATGGCCATGTCGCATTCACAGCGATAAAGGAGGACAGAGCGAACTGTTGAGCAGTACACACGTTGTTTAGTCGACAGCCAGCCGGATATCACGTCTACTAAGCCGGAAATGGCGTAAGTTGGCTCACAAATGCCACACACGAGCTTTTTGTGTCCATACTGAGATTTCAACAACATCTGTGAAAAGTTCTACGGCAAAAATTCATGTTAATTCATACAGAATTTCAATCAGAATAAAAGCATCATCTTACATTTGGCAGCACGAGCGAATTGCATACCAAACATTCTTCGGAGATCGCCGCTTCTCAAGGTGTTCAAAAGACTCAGCACTTTTGTAAGCGTCTTCCCCATAGGTATGAGGATTATATCGTCTGAATATATTCTAAGTCAACGAAATTATTCCCTAATGGTAACAGGTCAATCCCTGAGTCGCTGAAGTCAGTTAGAGTTAAGTCCATTAAGTAGAAATGGGGACCACAGTCAGTTGGCATCCCTGACGGACACCACTTCACATGACAACTTACCGTAGGCTCCCCATACCTGGCTGCATGAGTTCGAGTAGAGTACCTTAATCAGTGTGATGTATTTTCTCAACATCCCCTTCACAACCAAAGACTTTACGGACTGATGTTAGTCAAGTTTTCATTTGACTTGTTACTACCTAATCCTTTGTCAGTTAAGATTACTTGTCGAGGAAGATGATGGCTTTGCATGCGCGAACAACGCGTGTGTCCTAGCCGTATCTTAGTCGATCCACCTTTATAATCTTATCGATTGACCTTCTTTCCTCAGTTAACACTCTACGCTTAATCTCAATATTACTGCTGAACACCCCTTAATACGGGAGACAGAACACAGGCATCTATGATCAAAGACAGCTAACCAGCTAAGCTTTGCATGTCTTCCACTTTCAACGTCCGTGTCTCACTCACAGCGATAAAGGAGGATAGAGCGAACTGCTGAGCAGTACACACATTCTTTGGTCGACAACCAGCTGGATATCACGTCTACTAAGCCAGAGATGGCGTAAGTTGCCTCACAAATGCCACACACGAGCCTTTTTTGTCCGTACTGAGATTTCGACAACATTTGTGAAAAATTCTACGGCAATAATAATAATAATAACTAGTAGAACTCACATTATTATTGATTAAACTTGACAGATTAGATGATATTCTAGTATGTGCTTTCTCAGCTATCCGAGCTCGTTTCACTATCGATTCAAGAGTTTTATAATCTTGACAATGAGCTAAATCACTTGGTTTTAATGCCCCTGTGATTAAAGAGTCGAAAAATTGATCTTTCAACGTGACAATGATAGATGGATCAGTAGTAGTGGACGTAGACAGAGAGATAGTGCTGGCATGTTCCGATTTCTCTTGGTTAACAATCTCCAAACAATTGAGAAATAAGCGTAGCTGTGATTGATAGACTGAAAAGTCTGTCTGTAGGGAATCTTTACTTGATGAATTGGTGAGATTATTTCTAGACGAGATGACATTATCCAATTCGATAGCTAATGCCTTCAGTTTGGATCGATTCACTGTGAATATATGACGTGATAATAGGGTTCTGTAAGAGTAAGAGACGACAAAAAATACACAAACACAAATACAACAAATATGAGGAAAACGAGTGGGGAGGAGACATTTTAGAAATCAAAAACACAATTATATAAGACTCTGTAGATTACTTTGAAGGAGAAGGAGGAGGCGTTTGTTGTTGAGATGGAATGATCAGTGTTAACCAGGTAGGTGTTCAATTATCGCACTCCTTATTGCACCAAGTCTGTGTGGAGGTCAACAGCACTCAGCATGAAAAAGAAGATCCGGATTTTCAACTCCAATGTAAAGTCAGTCATTGCTACTATACGGATCAGAGACTTGCACTGTGCGTCATAAAGAGCATCTCGAACAAACTACAGACCTTCATTAACAGTTGTCTTCGCTCAAACTACTCAAGATCAGATGACCAGAACAGATCAGCAACAGGGATCTTTGGGAGCGAACCAACCAGGAACCGATTGTGAAATAAATATGCAGGAAGAAATGGAGATGGATTGGCCCATGCTCTGAGAAAACTATCAAGTGACATCACTAGACAAGCCATTGCTCGAGTGGAACCCGGCCGAAAGGGAAGCGGCGAGTTGGTCGTTAGTGCAAGGGTGACTTGGAGGAGGTCATGTGAAGAGGAGATGAAAACGTGTGGGCAGACATGGAGCCAGGTGAAGACTCTAGCAGAGAACCGAACGCAATGGAGACGCGCGGCTGAAGCCCTATGTTCCTCTAGGAATTAAAGGAAACAATATAAAATAATAATTATTGCACCAATATTGTCTTTTCGCAACAATGCTGGAAAGCTGTTCTTGAATCGTCTTGGACAGGGTGCGTGTCAAACGACCGATGTACCTGGCTGCTCCACTGCAGCAGCAGGTGAACTGATACGCATGCACAGAGTAGAAGTGGTCAGATGTGGGATCTTGTCCTTGAGGCTTCTGCAGATCAGTGGGCGACTATCAGTGGAAGAACACTATTCTTAGCGTTGCTGGAAAGAATGTTCTCTGCTCAGAGATGATGTGATCCTTCTCTTGACCCCAATCTACTGGCTGAAGACATTTAACTGTTGCCATACAGCAATAAAATTCACTCTTGAAATGGAAAACGAATCAAAAATTCTGTTTCTTGATATGGAACTAACAAGAAGAACTGATGGGAGCCTAAGAAGATTGATCCATAGAAAACCTACTTGGAATGGTCAACTAACAAGCTTCTATAGCTGGGTACCCATTGAACAAAAGCGGAATTTAATTAAATCATTTACCACCCGCATCCGACGCATCTGTAGTTCCAATGTTCTAGAAACAGAATTAGATATTCTGAGAGAAATCTTCATCCAAAATGGATACCCAATAAGATTCATTGACAAAAATATCAAACCAAGAATTTGTAGAAATGAAACTTCACTTGCACCTCTAAAAAGAAACTCTACATGAACTTGGATTTCAAGGGAGATTTAACAAGCGATATTCTCAAGAGAAGGATCATATCATCTCTGAGAAGAACATTCTTTGCAGCAATGCTAAGAAAAGTGTTCTCCAGTAGTCGCCCACTGATCTGCAGAAGCCTCAAGGACAAGATCCCGCATCTGATCACTTCTACCATGTGCATATATCACTTCACCTGCTGCTGCTGTGGAGCCAGCCAGGTACACCGGCCGTTCGACACGCAACCCGTCCAAGAGGATTCAAGAACATTATCCAGCATGGTTCCGAAAAGACAATATTGGTGCAATAAGGAGTACGATAATTGAACACCTACCCGGTGAACACTGATCATTCCATTTCAAAAATTATAAGAGTTGAAAACAGGAGACATGACAGAATGATATTCCCTTTGTATATGTTTCAGGGGGGGGTTATTAATCAACCCCTAAAATAGGAGATCTTCCTGATTGTGGTGGATAAGATACTGCAACGTACCGTAGGTGGGGGGGGGGCAGAGAAAACCAGAATACGTTGAACTGACAATAGGATTCTAGAAGATCTGCAATTAGCAGATGATGAAGACAGCTAAAAAACAACAAGCACCAATTGTTATCAACGGCAGGGGGGGGGGGGAATTGAAGAAAGTCATTCGTTTCACTTCCTTAGGCAACCTCGTTTCGTATACAGGCAGCAGGGATGAGGATGTCGAATACAGGATCGGAGTAGCAATACAAACCCTGAATATTCTGAAGTCAGTGTTAAAAAAAACAGCCACACTCGGCATAGAGAACGAAACTGTGACTGTCAACACTAATGTGAAGTTAATCACTGATTGTGTATGGTTCAAAGACTTGGCGAGTGCGTCACGAAAAGCTTTCCTCCCACCACCAGCCCCCTACTGTGAAGACCTTATCAACAACTACCTACTTCTTTCGCTGATGGATATCAGATGGCTGACCAGAGTGGATTAACAAACAACACACAATTCCGCCAGACCTTCATCACTCTGCGATCAGTTTGCGAATCTGCTGCAATCAGCAATTAGGAACACGATTTGGATTGCTATGCAGCTATAGCTCAGAGACTTGGTGAGCATTTCAACACAGCCTACTGCAGACTATCATCAACTGTTGCTTTCACCGGCTCCATATCGAAGATCATATGGACAGCCAAAAAGGACTACCGTCAGAAGGGAACTCAGGCAACAAACAAACCAAGAAATATACAGAAAGAAGTGGAGATTGATCGAACACACGCTGAGAAGACAGTTGAGTTGACATCACACACACACACACACACACAAGATAAGCCTTCGAGTAGAAACCAAATGGGAAACAATCAAGGTTACCTTAACACTGTGCAAAAAAGAGTCGAATTGTGAGTATATTTTATACCATGTAGTAAGAGAACGGACAACACTAATATTCACTGCTTCTATTACACAATAGGTTTTTATCCAGTCCCGCCGTTATTGACTTGTATTTCACAAGTCAGAATTAAAGTCCAGTCTATCTCTTATCCGCGGTAACCTCAGTCCCCCCACCCAAACCATGGGAAATTCCACAATTAGACTGCGATTACTACTAAACGATATACAAATATAGTGATATAGAAGATTTTCTGGCTTACCTTTTTTCCAGTAACACGAATAAGAGGTTTTGATATTTCTTTCTCAACTGAGCAATATTTTCTGGTGCCAGCGACTGCTGATTATTCGCTTCTGATGAGGATCGGCTACAGTCATTGCTGGAAGACGTAGTCCTATTCACATGGGCTGGGTTTTGAAAAGAAGTTATCAAAAAAAACATAGAACACATCGAATAGGTAGAAAAAATATATAAAATTTATGCGGTACAAAATATACTACTGACTAATACAAGTAGTCTGGGAATGTTAACAAAAATTTAGGATGTAGCATGTTAATTATATCCCAGTGAATGCGGTTACTGACTGATTGACTCGGTTTCAACATAGGACTTTGCATAGAAGTACAACAGTTGAAGCTGCTACACCTTCTGTATAACACAAATGTTGAAGAAAGAGGAACTGGGATGAACAGAAATATACGGAAGAAACAATTACAGCCAGACAGACCGCACCCTCCTACTTGGCTCAAACCAACGGTTAAAAATCTCATAGATTGATGCCATATTTTCACTTAGCCACTCTTAATTCTTTTCCAACCTGATCTTAGGTCAGTTATCCTTGCTGGATGAAAAAGGCAATGCTTTGGAATATGTAGCTCGTGTTCTAACCATGAGAATTTATGCAGCTTAATAATCTCATCAACTGATATTCCCCCTTCCTTACCTAATATTCTATTCCTATCCTTAATACTACTCACCACTTAAAAAGGGGAGACAGATGTTCCTACTTCAATGGTCATGTCTCATACACTAAGAACACATCAAATCGTCATAAGTGAAAGGATGAGTTAGAACGTTTGGAGCTGACAACCTGACCGGTGGAGAACATGCTGCTCTATGTAGATTCCAAACTTATGGTATATCTACATTGATTCCAGAATCTGAAAGCATTGAACGGCAGTTGAACCTGTTCCGGTCAACCAGCAACCATAGGAAAGCAGCTCCTGACGCTGATGTAGAACTACCTCATGGATCATACTTCAGTCCAAGTCTCGGAGGAAATTGGTTCCTGAAGATAACTAACTACTTCGGTCTGGGCGTCTGGACATTACCCCAGTCCTCGCACAAACTATGAGAATTTGTGTGGCGTATTTGTTTGGGCCCATAATATATATACATGGAGAATGGATCTGGTAGGTCACAAAGAGGTGAATATGAATATGCGCTATTGAAAACGATTGTGAATCATTTTCAGCTACTGACTGATAGTAAAAGTATATGATGAATTCCATATTAGTTTGTTTATTAGATGTATCACACAGTGAGTGTAACAGTATTATTATTTACTGGATGACAAAGTTTCGAACACAATTTATTACTGTTCATAATATCATTTCATCAATTATAATCACACGACTTTGAAACTTGAGTTTTATAGTTTTCTTTGTCTTCTCCTATTTGTCGTTGTTGGGGTTGTAGAATTTTCCAGATATCTGGATGGACAGGTGTTGAATCATTCCTATTACACGTATTTGAAGTAAATTCGATAAACAAAGCTTCTGTTGTCAATCTCTCCATCCACCCTGCTGTTACATTAGATTTTAAAACTGTCTCATCCTGTCTCGCTCTACACATGTGAAACCTAGCCTCTCCGAGCTGAGCATGTGTGGCGACTATGCGTGTTCGATCATCGCTGTCTCCGCAGGATTGCTTGCGTTCGATGGCATCATCGCGTGAGTAATTCTGAGGTTCGGCGGCGTGTGTTTGAACACAGTGGAGATCACCATTCATTGAGTGTCATCATCTGGAAACACCGGCTCCGGTGGTTTGGGCATATGCTGCGAATGTCATCCCAGAGGCTTCCGTACAGGTCTCTGTTCGCTAGCCCTGGGGTGGGATGGAAAAGGCGGAGGGGTGGTCAGTTCATGACGTGGCGTCGTGGGATGAAGGATATTTGTGCTAGATTAGCATTGGTTGGTGCGTCACGACTACCTGGTTGGGGTCCGCGAGATAGCTCAAATCAATGGCTCGAAACGTTATCGGATATGGCCAAGAATCGTAATCAATGGCGAACGTGTTGCAATTTCCTTCTTTCTTCCTTCCCTATAGTTAACGAATACTGTTTGAACTTGTTAAACATGACTGTTTTCCTTCTGTAACGACAGAAGGCAAGGGTCAGGTAACAGATCATTTATTAAGGAAATCAACGCATATTTATATATTTTCCTGTACATTACTATGGATATTTAAGCAAATAAACAGTCTTCCGATTGGTTGTTTCTCACGTACAGTTAATCTTTCATCGATTTGTGACTGTTTCTTGAATGTCAAATCCTCTATCTGTTAACTGCATCCGCCTACGCAAAGTCTGCTGTGGTCGGTTTTGAATCAATCTTTGTTCACATTTTCTCACGACAAATCTTGGGAACGTAAATATTGAGGTAAATTACTGTCTACCAATCTGGCTAGTAGACAGCTCTCACCACACTTCCAGATGAAGTTCTTTATCCGTTTTCTACTTATATTTTTTTACTTTTAATCTATGTTGTTTTATTATTATTGTGTGGCGCATCTTTCTTGGTGCCATATTGTACCAAGTTTTTTCTGGGTTTCAATAATAATAAACATCTTATCCCATCCCATCCCATTGTATGGATGGTTGTGTGTAATTGCATGTAGTGAGTGCTATAGCTGAACTATTCCCTAGATTTCTTATCTCATTCGGGTCAACTAATCTAGGTTTTGCTAGGTTTCTGTGCTGGGCTAGTCTGACTGACTGCCCCTGTTCTACTTGTTTGACCTATATATTTGACCTGACAGTCATTGCAGGCTATTAGAAACAAGCTTTGTCGGTTAAAGGATCAATTCTGTGGAGCCTTTAAAACGAAACAATTTAGTTTATCTAATACCCTACCTGCAATCACTGTCAGGTCAAATACAAACTACTAGAACATGAGCAGTCAGACTAGCCGAACATAAAAACCTAACAAAATCTAGATTGGTTGACCCAAATAAGATAAGCAATCTAGAGAATAGTTCAGCTACAGCACTACACTACATGCAATTACACACAACCATACAATACGATGGGTTGGGATAAGATGACAGTTTTAAAATCTAATGTAACAGGATGAATGGAGGGAGAGACTGATAACAGAAGCTTTGTTTATCGAATCAACTGAGAGAGAATACGTGTAATAGGAATGATTCAACAGCTGTCCCAGATATCTGGAAGATTCCACTACCTCAACGACGACAAATAGAAGAAGACAAAGAAGACTATAGAACTCAAGTTTCGAAGTCGTGTGATTACAATTGATGAAATGATATTATGAACAGTAATAAATTGTGTTCGAAACTTTGTCATCCAGTAAATAGCAATAATGTTTCACTCAATGTGTGACCTGAGTTACTACCACAGTGGCCAATTTTTTCACACATATACATTTATATGATGAACTGACTTGATTTCATTCAAGTTGAATGTCTTAACCATTAGATCAAAAAGGTCTTAGACTCCAACTCTCATAAAATCACATAAAGGCAAATGTTGAAAAAGGGTTGAGTACTTTAAGGTTTTCAAAACATACATATACCTCAACGTTTTTTCTAAAACCAATCAACAATTTAACAAATAAAAGTGAGTCTATCAAAGTAGTTGAATGCATTTCTGAATAGCAGAATATTTATAGGCTATAATTAAGTGATGACATACCTTCGTTTTGTCCAGAATCTTTGCCGGATTGATTTAGTGACTGTGATTTCTGAGATTTCTCGTTCAACTGACGATTGTAGACAACCTGATATTGTGCAAAAAAAGAACCAGTCGATGAAGCATAAAAATAACCACAGCTAAAATGTATACTGCATATAATTAGTTGTTTATGTTACTTCCAAGGGTATTTTGTCTTGCAGTGCATACAGATCTGTATAGTAGACTAAAATTCTTCTTTTCTCTTTCATATTACTCACAATTACACAAACACCGAATGGTGTTTCCTTTAGTTCCTAGAGGAACATAGGGCTTTAGCCGCATATCTCCATTGCGTTAGGTTCTCTGCCAACGTTTTCATCACCTGGCTCCACATCCTTTCATCTCCTCTTTACATCAATTCCTCCTCCTATAAGTCACCCTCACACTGATGACCAACTCGCCGCTTCCTATTCGGGTTACACTCGAGGGATGGCCCGGCATGTAATGTCACTCACTTGAAGGTTTGCTTTTTCAGAGTATGACCAATCCACCTCCATTTGCTCCTGCATATTTCTCGCACTATCGGTTCCCCATTGCTTCGCTCATTGCCAGAGATCCCTCTAGCTGTTCTTTTTTGGCCATCTGATCTTGAGCGCTATTGATGAAGGCCTGTAATTTGTTCGAAGTGGCCTTCATGACTCACGAAGTCTCTGATCCATAAAGTAGCACTGACTGACATGACATTGGAGTTGAAAATCCGGATCTTATTATATTCATGCATATTGCTGAGTGTTGATCTCCACATAAGCTTGAGAGTAATGAAAGCCTACCTTGCTTTCCCGATCCTCACGCTTTGATATCCTCGTCAGTTCCGTCTGCCCGTAGTTGAAACGATGCTTCCCAGGTCGGTAGGTGAAGGAAGTTGCTTCTTTCAGATTTCTCCCACTTATGCTGGCTGTTTGTTTGTCTGTTGTTGTTGTTGCTGCTGGCCAGGAATCTTCATCACCTCTGTTTTCTCTATGTTCACCTGAAGTCCTATCTTCTCTGGATGCTTCTTCTGTCAACTTGCTCCACGCTCGCCCATAGGTTCTCATCTCCTCTCCACACAATCTTCTTCACGTTACAACGGTCTCTTCAGCCTATGTCCAATCGATGTCCATTTCCCTCTGTACACTTGTTAGCCAATAGATTCATCAATGATTCGCTGCGTGTCATAGTTTCTTATTGCTGAGCCTTTCCAAATGATCATTTGGTCTTCATTCAGTATGCAGCAAAGGCAACAGTTGATGAAAATCTGCACCGGACAGTTGGAAATGCTTTTTGTGATGCACGCGCCAAGTCAGTCCCTGAAGCATAGAGAAACACTGACGAATTGGACATTAGTGCTGAAAATCTGAATCTTGTTCTTTATGCTGTAGCACAGCAGACTTCACATTGATTTCAGACTAACGAAGGTCTGGCTTGTTTTTCTCATACTGCCTAGATAAGTGAAAGAGGTAACACCTCCCTTACATTTCTCTCGCTGATGGTGATCGATGGGCAAAGTTCAACAATAGCGTCCCATGAGTGCGAGCGCACGAGTGACCTTCAACCGACCAATCATAGAAATGAGGAATTTTTTCACAAAAAATGATGTATATTGACAAGAAAATGCTCAAAAACACACATTAAACAGGTTATCGTTTTCTGACATGACTTAAAAATACGTCCTAGTTATAATGATGAACAGTGTCAGTTGCTAAGTTAGACTAGTTTCTGCACATGTATTCACAGAGGTGACTAAAGTTGAGTTGTTTTTCTGAATTGTTTATCTCTCTAATCCAGTTCCGTAGTCTTCCCCAAAAGCCCTCAGTTGAATTACTATGGTTTCCAGTAAGCGGATCAACGACTGCTTACTGGAAAAATGTGGGTAATAAAACAAATTAAAATAAATGTCATCAACTCTAAATCTATTCATAATGGTAACCCTAACCTTAATCCTACCCTAACCCTAAACTTAACACTAAGCCTAACCTTAATCCTAACACTAATTACAACCCTTATCCTGACCGCAGACCTAACCCTAACGAGCTATTAACACATTGTCCAAACAGTACTTAAAAACGTGATCTGGGTGAAATTTTCTGCCTAGTTGGTGAATAGCGTTGATATTCCAGCTATCATAATAACAGGTGCCGTCAGCCAACAACTGGCATGCGTTCAAGGTCATTGGAGCGTTCGCTATCCTGGGACGCCATTGTGGAACTTCGCCGATTGATGCTTGCTGCTGTTGTTGCTGGTGGTGATTAGGTATCTTCACCACTTCTCTCTTCTTTATATATTCACTTAAAGTTCCTGTCTTTGCTGTCAACCTCTTCTGCCAAATTGTTGGATCTCGCCTGTAAGTCTTGAAGTTTGTATGACATTAAGCATAAGTAATGCGTGAAGTTCAAATCTTCTAGAGTCTTCCTGTTGGGTCCAACATGAGCCCATCTTCCTGCACCCTATGATCCAATCCACCACAATCAGGAATACCATCGCTGATAGTGACAAGCTTGTCTTACTCCTGGACGAAGTTATCTTCCAGGATTAAGGCTATTATTCAGAAACGTACGCACATCCATGCTTGTATAATCGAACAAACAAAGGATCAAAACATTCTATCAGTAAAGTTTGCAATATGACCACTATGTTAGGTGGCTTGCCAGTACAGTGCCCTCTGAACTGTTGACGCCTGACACTAGTTACTACCTCCATTGCAGTCCGACAACAAGTCAATTGCAAGCCTGAATACATCTGTCTGTCTCTGTCTGTTTTCGACATAGAACTTTGCACATATGTGCGGCAGATCAAGTTGCCACACTCCATGTAGCACACATAGCAAGAGGAGAAATGCATAATAAAGACAGTAAACAGAGGTGTGAGACAAAGGAATAGTAATAACGAAGAACAATATAGTTTTATTGGGTATTATAAGTCACAAGGAGTGGATGCATCTGCACCATCATGGAGAACGATTTTGAACCATGTCGCCAATTATTTCCAACCATTGGTTTTTACCGTCCGGGGACAAAAACCAGGAAGTCTACACCTTCTTATGTGGCTGGCTGGCTTAAACTAACTGTTGTGGATTTCACTGAGTGATGAGGCCATGTTTTGGTTTGACCACCGCTAGCTCTTTTCCAGCCTGACCCTATATCAGCTAACACTGCCCATTGTCTAGGAAGGCGATGACTAGGCATACATAACACATGTCCTAACCCTCTCAATCGATGTAATTTCACAGTCTTGTCAATTGATTTCCCCTCCTTACCTAGCAGTCGACTGACCCCTAACCTCAATATTGCTCACTTTATTATGCTACTTCACTCCAGAGATAGAACGCAGACACCTATGATCAAAGACAGCTAATCTTTTCATGTCCTCCGCTCTCAATGACCAGATCTCACAGCCATAAAGGAGGACGGAGAGGACTGCTGAACAGTACGCACGCCTTTTGGTCGATAGTCGGATATCACGTCTACGCCAGAGACGGCGTAAACTGGCATATGCAAACCTAGCCCTCTGTATTCGTGCTGAGATTTCGTCAGAGATCAACCCGTTGGCACTGGCTGATGGTACTTCCCAAGTAATTGAAGCGGTCAACGTGCTCTACCACTTCACTTCCTATTTCTAATCTAGGGGTCGGTGAAGTCCAATCCTGCAACATCATCTTACATTTTACAGGGGCGAATCGCATGTCAAAAATACGAAGATTGTTGCTCAAGGTGTTCAGTAGACTCTGCATTTTGTCAGAGTCCTCGCCTAGAAGGACTATATCGTCCGCATATTCTAAGTCGACGAGATTATTCCCTGGTAGTAAGTCAATCCCTGAGTCGCGGAAGTGTGTTAGGGTTAAGTCCATTAGTACGTCTATGATGATGTTGAATAGGAATGGGGATAATGGGCATCCTTGACGGACGCCACTAGTCGTCACCACTTCAGATGAAAACTCGCCGTAAGCCCTCACCTGGCTGCGTGAATACGAATAGAGTGCCTTAATCAGTGCAATGTATTTTCTCGGCATTCCCTTTACAGCCAAGCATCGCCAGAGAACCTCTCGTTCGACAGAATCGAATTCCGCCTCTAGGTCAAGAAATATAATGATTGTCGGACGCCGGTAGGAATGCCTATGTTCTAGAATCTGTCGGAGGGTGAAGATATGATCAGTGGTAAAATATGTCTCTAGCTTCAGCACTGGCTTCGAACTGCAAAAGGGACATGCGTTCCCTCACGACTGACTATGACAACAGGTGCGACAGTTAAGTTCACGTCTTCTTGTCGATTGCCTCCATCAATCTAACACGAGTAACCGATAAATTTATCAGAGAAAAAGGGAAAATAGAACCACACACAAAAATTTATCAACAGATAAATGTGTATACACACACACATAAAACCCAAACTGCAAGCCATACCTGATATGTTGGATGAGCCAATAGGAATTCAATTAATGTATCACTAGTTGGTGCCCGTGTACCATTCAACACTGTACCACTTTTACGATCTAAGACAACTAGGGGTTTACGCGTATCCAAGCGGTTTTCACGATTCTTGAGTACAAAAGACAAAAAAGATAGAAGCAGAAGGAGAAAACGGAACATTACACACGAAACAACAATTACTTTATTAATTTCATAAAACATTTATTCCCCTTAATGAATTTGAATAAAGCAAGAACAATGGTGTGGTTTGTGCAGAATAAAATGGTACCATCATCGCTTATTTCGTTGGCTTCTCATCAGCTCAACTGCTGCTTACAGGCCGCAGTAATTATTAAGTATATCTACAAAAACAATTTTAACATACTTGCACACAAAGTTCATTTTTAAACAAAAAATAATCGATCAGTAAATGCATACAGTAATATTAAACGCTATTCCGAACAATAATGATCATACACAGTGGAAACTTTCAAAATTACATAATCAGATGAAACGGAGGGTGAAAATATCCAGTTACCAGGCAGAGCGAGGAAAGATTGATAAACACTTCTTTCTGAACGTATAAATCAGGTTTCAGGCGCTTGATGGAGATGGCTTCAGAAAACTTGAGGAGAATTGAGCTCTTTTGCCTATTGATAATTTTGAACGATTTTGCGACGTCCACCTGATGACCCGTGTCAAGGATAATGTCTAAAGGGAATAAATGCTTTAAACAGTGCCATCGCCAAGCATCTTCCTAGTATTTCATTTTTAGACGTCCTTATGACCAGAAAAGAGGATGGCACAATAAGAAGTGTTTATTGAAAACCTACATCAACGAGCCAGTACACACATTTTCTCAGCTTTGTGCCCTTGAAATACAAACGCAATCTAATAAAGTGCTTGGTCCACAGAGTAAGAGAGATTTGCTCGGATGAATGTCTTGACAAGGAGCTTAACAATATTAAACGGTTGCTAAGTGAGAATGGTTATCCTGAAAAGTTTATTGATAAGAATCTGAATCTGAAACCAAAGCAGCCCAAGGTACCAACAGTTCCAAAAAAGGCCTTGTTCTTACAGATGCAGTTCCTAGGAGACAACACCAGTGAGATACTAACACATCGCCTTAGAAATGCGGTAAAAAGAGCATTTCCTACTGCGCAATTACGATGTATCTTTAAAACCACTCCTCTTCTGCGTTCGGGAATAAAAGACAAACTGCCTAATTTCGCCTCTTCCATGTGTATCCACCAATTTAACTGCTCCTGTGGAGTGAGCCAGTTACATAGGCCGTACAATTAGGCGTGTTTCGCGTCGAATTTCCGAACATCACCCTGCCTGGTTGGTTAAGTAAAGGACAAACAAAATCTATTCTCAGCGCTATTCTGGCTCACCTTGTGGAGACAGAACACAAGATTGACGTTGACCATGCTTTCAGGGTTATTTACCGCATACCTACGAATCTTAACTTCACCTTAAGAGTTCGACTTCTAAATATTGCTGAGGCTGTG